TGTGCGTGTGCATGTGTGTGTGTGCGTGTGCATGTGTGTGTGTGACACTTACTTTCCTAGGGCGAAGCATTCTAACTTCACTGACGATCCTTTGGAAACGTAAAGGGTGTCAGGAAACTGAACCTCGATCTTGGGCTCATATTCACCCATCACCACTACCAGAGGGACAGAAGTCAGAACACGATACGTCCCTGAAGTTCTTACAAAAGTTTGAATACTCTTTTCATTTTTCACATTTTGCAATGTTAAAACCTTAACGACAAATATTTGTGTTTGCTGACTTACGAGAAAGACAAACATGAAGTAGAACTTCATTGTGTAGAGCCACTCATTAGTCTTTACTTAAGCTGTAGAGCAGGGGTCCCCAAACTTTTTCCTGTGAGGGCCACATAACTTTTCCCTTCTCTGGTGGGGGGGCTGGAGTCAGTTTGTAACAGAAAAAGTGTGACGATTGCAGGAGAGCCTAAATGTAAAACTTTATTGTTTTCCAGAAAGCACACTCAAATAACCCTCTCTGGGTTTTTCACAGAAAAAATCCAGGAAATAACACTATTTATGAAATAAATATTTTCCGGACTATAAGGCGCAGATATCTCTGCTGCTCTAGGTTTTCCACAATGATGCAGCAGTAGCAGAGGGGGCGGACACCCAACATTTGAGTCATAACAGGTCAATTGATTATCACATTTATTATGGTTGAAAAAGAAAAAGTTGCCAAGTTTAGATTTAACTGAACTGATTACGGTAATTTCCGAACTGTAACAGTAAAAGTGCTGATACTCTGTGTCTGCTACTAGCATGTGCTAAATGAAAATAGGCGCTTTCTTCTTCTTTAGATTTCAATGGCAGCTTGCATCCATTATTGTTGCACTACTGTCATCTATAGGATCCTAATATTTATGCCTCAAATTCTCATAATGATCCCAGTATTATTTAAAAAAAAAACGAAAAATCTTCTTTTCCCCCTCAATGTGATTTAACTGATCAACAACATTCTCAAATTTCAATTCCCTATTAAAACTTAATTTTTTTTTAATGGGCACGTTCTTCTTTTATTTCCAATTTTGACTTCCAATGATTCACTTCCTGCTAAAGAGCCCCCTGGTGGTTGAAGAAAAATCCACATATAAGCCGCATCGGACTATAAGCTGCATGGTTCAAAGCTTAGGAAAAAAGTAGCGGCTTATATGTATATGAAAAAAAATCTAAATGCTCTCTGGTATTGTTCAGGGGGCTGGACCAAATGTGGAAGCGGGCCGGATCCGGCCCTCGGGCTGTAGTTTGGGGACCACTGCTGTAGAACGTTTGACCAGAGTTTATGAGAGAACACAAAAATTAAACAAAAGAGCACAACAAAACAGGATATTAAGTGAGCAACAGAGTCACTTGTGGCTCCGGAGCATTAGCAGATGAAAACTAATATGGCTGAAGCTATATTAGTGGAGTGGTTGATCTTAATCTTCCTGGGGTCCCAGGAAGTGCAGGACCTTCATTTTTAATCCATTTAAATTATCAAGGTAAAAAATAAAACCAACTAAAGAAACTGATTTGGTCTCTTAAGTTCAGGGGTCATAACAGGGACCAAGCTCAGTTCTACAGGGAACCGGCCCCTTATGTGCCCCCTTATAGAACCGTCCATGTGCTTTCTGTGTGTAACCAGGATAATTTTTCCATATTAGATTCAGTTTTATTTTATTTTCCATTTTGTTAAATTTAGTTTTATTTATTTTATTTAAAGATTTAATTAAAAATCCTCCTTTCCTTAATTTATTCAATACAATTAAATACATGTATTGAATACATTTATTTAATACAAATTTATTCAATACAATTAAAGTCAACGCTGCACGTCAGCGTCCTAAATTGACAGCTACAGCTTATATGGCTGCTAATTATTTATTTTTGTTTTTTTCCTTTCATCATCAACAAAGACTTGTTGACTTCCTTGGTTTAAGGAACCCTTCTGGACTTTAAATTGTGGACTAACTTGTATATATTGTAAATATTAATACAATTCACCAATTTTGCACCATCTAGTTGTCTCTGTGTTCTACAAATTTGCCACCTCCTCCAGCAGACGAACCTAGTTTTAAGAATCACTTGGATTGACTCTAACTTGGATTATTTCTTTAATAATCCTAATAGTCCTAGAATGTAATTTAGGTTACATGTGTCTCCTTTATGATTTATGTGAACATTTTCGCTGCTTTCTATCAACAAAATTAAAATATTTTTCTGTTATCCAGTGAACAGATTTTCCAAATTTCACACTATTGGCTTGTTCACTTATTCAGAAGGTAGTTGTTTGTACTAGATTTTATTTATGGGTATTTGAAAGACTGAATACAATACAAGACTGTATTGGTCTGTCACACAATTCCAAGAAAATGTGAAAAAAAAAATAGTTATGATTATATATATAACACTTCCCACTGCAAAAAATACACTTCTCAAAACAAGTTAAAAAATATAGACATGTTATTAAAAAAAATTTTGAACCAGTCCTTTTAAAAAAAAATATATTCAAGAATTATTGTCTTAAAACAAGCTTTTATGTTTAGCTGAAAAGTTATTTGTAAGTTAGTTTTGTCTTATTTCTAGTGTAATCATTTATTTGCAGTAGAAACCAGACAAAAAAAACATGGAAAGATTTTGTGTTTTTGCACTGCAGCTGTTTGAAGGCGCAGTTAGCACACAACATGTTAATGGATGGATGAGTTTGTATTGCATACAGGTTGCAGTGGAAGCAAGAAGCCCAGAGCTGGGTTGTGGATATTTGTATTGGTGTCAGCCTGTTTACTGTGCATGCGGTCTGGTTATGTAAATATGTGGAGACAGAGTGTGTCCCGCACACATAGCCACGCCACCATACGAGATATTTCCGATGTGTTAACACCCCTGCTGAAGAGAAAAATAGCATCACGTTCCAGACAAACCATTTATCTCCTCTGGGTGTCGGTTCAGCAGGCTGAGTAACCGGATGGCACAGCGTCTGGGCTTACCGTCACCCCGCACCACCACCGGGGTTGGAGAGCTGAACACCGTGGCGTTAGTCATCATGTTTCTCACTACACACGTGTAATTCCCGGCATCCAAGGCTTCCACTTTGGCGACGTACAAGTTGCCAGTCCGCTGGGAGATGAAACGGCGTGCATCCTGCTGGAGGAAGTTACGGTTGCCATTGAAAACCCAGGAATACTTGATCTCTGTAGAAAACGAGAAGAACAACACTAAAAGTGACGAAGAGAGCAATCAAACAAAAACATCTCGAGATGGATAAGTTATTTTTCAAATCTTGCATTTGAAAAAGCACAATTTGGGCTTTCTCAGCTTTGCTTGAATTTCACCAGTAAATTTTCTATCGGGCCGATCAGCAAACAGAAAAGTTGTGAACAATGATTTCAATTTTCTGCTTCAGAACTGTAGTCTGCATATAGTTTTAGCAGTGCCAATTGAGGAAGTCGCAAAGTCCGTGTAAGTCACACTTCCAAATACTAAATAAAAATGAACAAATGTTAGCAAGTGGGTATCCACTGAGTCCTATAAAATATCTGCTATTCCAACTGTGAGCAGTCAAAGAAGTGGATTTATATTCTCAGACAGCTTTAAGCTTGTTTAGGTAAAGATAATATCCATGGGATTTTAATAACAGATGAGATTAGATTATATATTTCACACTTGATATTAAAGGGCATAAAAAGTCTTTCATAATAAAGTAAAAATAACACAGAAAGACCAAAATGCAATATATTTGACCTGTGACAATAAATGACAGAATTAATAGCACAGGAACACTGGACTCAACCTTGAAATTGTATTTTCTTTTTTATTATTATTAAAAATGCTAGTTAAAATGTAAAAATATTCAAGTGCTTCATTCAATGTTTGATAATGTTCTCTAGTAAATCTCAAAGTCCTTCATAGACCAGTTTGACTTATACTTTTATGATATTTTAATTGTTGTTTTGCTTGCTTTACACCGGGGTACAGGGAGGTTTTCAGGTTTCCCTTGAAAAACAGATTTTGTCTTGAGGTTTTTCATGGTTCGTTGTCATGGTTCTGGGATGTTTTGGGTTTCATAATTTGTATTTTGATTATTCTGTCATCCTTCCCCTGTCCCAGTGTTTTCTACATCTTCTGTGCTTTTGGACATTAAAGTAACCATGACGTCCAAACTCCGGTCTGTGATTTGATCCATCGCAACCTTCATTCCTTTGTTCTGTGCTCCCATGGAAAAACACCGACACACTCTGCCCCAAAAGTTACAAAACAACTATTTATATACGAGTGTAGCACTTGTTAATGCAATCCATAATCTGAAAGAAGTCTTTTTTTTTCCTTCTCACAATTTGCAATGCCTTACAGACTGACATCACCAGGTACAGAGAACAGGGAGAGACAGACCTTAGAAAAAAGTGGCCACATGCAGAGACACTCTGACAACTACAGCCAGGACTGTCACAATAACTCAATTTGCTGGATAATAAATTGCCCCAGTAATTATTGCGATACATGATAACATTGTTTTTATAGATGATTTTCAAGTAATATATTGATAATAGAAGAGTAATGCAAGTTTGCCCTCTCAAACACCAATAACCTTTCATTTTGGAAAGAACACACTGGAACTAGAAGATATTTCAAGTATCCAAAATAAAAATACAACCAAAAATAATAAATAGAAAGAAAACAAGAACCACTTGCAAACAAAACCATAAATAAAGTGGATCATGATGCCTCTTTCAAAAATATTCATAATCAGAATGGAAATTATTGCACTCATTTTAATTGATCGTATGATTAATCGATTAATTGATTAATTGCTAATTGCTAATTGTGACAGGCGGATTAGACATGCCTTGGTGGTTCCAGCCAAATGTGGAACATTTTGCCAAATCAACATCTGAAGAATCTGACAAGTTGCACACAGAGGTCCTGTGTAAACGTAATCTAAACTCAGAAATCAGATATCCTGTATCAGAGATAATATTTCTATGATTTTTTTTTAATTTACTGTAAAGAATGCACTCCTTTCTGCTAGAAAATCTAAAATTATATTAATTCAACTATAATGTTGGGACAAAATATTAGAAAGTTGAGTGAATTCTTTGGTAAAAAGCATTCCCACTTTTATTCTAAACATCACACATGTTGAAATGAAGAAAGGGAAGAAGAGATGAGCACATTAGAGTCGAGGTGTGCAGTCAAATACTTCAACAGAGAAGAGGAAGAAGGGAGTTTAAGTCTGCAGGGGGTGTCGAAGGTATTTAGCCATTTCTGCCGCCCTCCCTTATCACACCAACAGCATTCTGCTCTCAGTCTGTCTCACTTGGCAGCTGCTAAAAAGTTCAATTCGCTTCCTTGAGGGGAAAAAACTGTGATTCAAAATCATTACAAGGAAAGTCGGGGCATGAACTGCCAGACCTTTCATGATTAGGGACTATCAGAGACCGGCTCTGTTTAAGAGCCGCAGTCCCACAGCAACAGAGGACTTCCAGGCACATAATCCCACGTGCTCCGACAGAGTTCAGCTCTCAGCGCCGCTCCTTTAAGGCCACTTAGGTATTGATTGTTCAGATAAGCTTCGCATGAATCCTCCTTTAATAAGGCGCATTGTAGATTTCCTCGAGAATCGCTTCGACATGCGTCGAGGCAGCTGTGATATCACCAAAAACGAAGCAGCAACACATTCCGGTGCTGAAACACCTCAAGCTAGCATTATCACCCAGTGAAAATCCCATCAAGTGTGTGACCATGATCCTTTTAAGGGTGAAAACTAAAGAGGTGGGGGGTATTCAAAGGGCGAAGGGGTGGAAGGAAGGAATCAGAGGGCAAAAAAAACCTGCTAATGTGTGGAATTTCACACGGCCGCAGGACTGGGTTGGAAACAGAGAGCGGATAATTCAATTCCCTTTTTAAATACTAAGCATTTTATTGCCTAAAATAAAATAACATAACATTCTTAAAGTAAATCTGAACCAGGTGAAGCTAAAACCGATGCCACTTTAGAAGAGTTTTAGCTAAAAGATAATTTATAGACAAAGATGTCATCTTAAATGCAAAATCTATCATTTTTGTACCGTTTTGGATGAATTACTGCTTTAAATATACACTCAAATAAAAAACCTTTATTTGAGTGTATACTCCAGTTAACAATTAATCACATCAATTAATCAATTAATCAACTACTACAGTAGTTGACAATTATTTCAAGAATCGATTAATTGCAATTAATCCATTATTTGTTGATTGTGATTATTCTAGTTAATTGATTATTTCAAAAATTGATTACTCATTTCATCTGCTAGATCATCTCTAATCTGCTACATAAATGTTTGCTAGGAAAATGTTTACTGTAATCCTGGATTAAATGTTTTTTTTTTAATGGTTCAAACCCTCATAAAAAAAAAAATAAAAAAAAAAAGGAAAGGAAAGAGCGGGAGAGAAGTTTGCTGAGGAGGCGTGAAATTGCGCCGCCGGGCTCCGAATAGCTGTGGGAGCGCCGACCCCTTTGAGGGCCCACTAATCAGCAGCACCCAGACGCATGAGCCGACACACAGCTGAGCCACTGGGATGAATGCTCCCGCCACCAGACGCTGGTACTACCCAGCAGATAACCTGTTTCTCAAAAAACCCACAATATACATGACAGTTGGATGAGATGGAGCAGCAGAGGCTTTCTAGATGGCAGGACGTCCACAGATCATATGGGCAGGAAAAGCGAGTTCGAGGTTAAGAAGTGTAAGGCTGTGAACTACAGATGCAGGAAGTCAGAGGGGTCTGGGCAAGGTGCAGTGGCAGGTTAGACACCATGAGAACTCCGGTGGCACCAAACGCCAGTGGGTCGGGCTCCAAAACAAAAAAAAAAAAAAAACTGAATCCCGACATTATTGCTGGAGGACAATAAGCAGCAGACTGAGGAACACAGGCAAGCAGCAGTGTGAAGCTGGAAGACAATTGAGGAGAGTAATAGTCGGGAGTTCAGTACCTCCGTAGTGTGGCGGCGGGCCGCAGAGGAGAACCACGGCTTGACCCTCTCTCACTGTCACTGTGTTCCTCGGCTTCTGGCTGAAGTTCTGCAGAACTGTTGGGGATGATAAAAAAAAACATCATCAGGTTATTGCTAAAGCACACCTCAGCATACAGTGCCCTGCAAAAATATTCAAGCCTGCTCATGTTATGCACATCAGTATGTCACTGCCAATAGTTGACACAAAATAGAGTGAAGTGGACAGAAAATGATGCATGGTGTGGAAGTTGTTTTGCTCATAAAAATATGAAAAGGACATATTCACATTCAGAAGTCACCCACATAATTACATCACCATGTGGTGATTGTTTCTAAAGTTACACAGTCAAAAACCTGGAGCAATCATTTATGTTATTCAGCCTGTCAGAGGGGAAAAAGGAGTCCGATTTTTAAAATGGTCATTTAAAAATGTCAGTTTCACACTAAATATTTAGTCAACAAGCTAAATTTTAAGTTAAGTTGAACATTTATTTTACAAACTAAATATTTAGTTGGAAAGATAAGTATATAGCCAAATATTTAGCCTGAAGCTAGTGACAGACTAAAAAATGTGGGTGGCCAGCTCAATTTAGCTCACTAACTAAATTCTCATCTTACTAACAGATATATTCAGCTTCAAACAAAATATCTAGCTTTCAAACTAAATATTTAGTTTGGAGTTATATATTTAGCTGGTAAACTAAATATTTTGCTAGCTAAATAACCAAAATTATTGCTGTTAATATTTGACAGTGTAACTGGAGTTGCTCTGAGGCTTTAAGGGTTTGTTAGAGAACGTTAGTGAAAAAACTAATGGAGTGTGTTCCATGCTGTGTTTCTCCAGCAGACAGGTCAGTGAGAAAGCTGTGGATCACTACCAACTCTCACTTGTCTTCAGCAGATACAAGGAAGAAATTCAGAAATGGTGGGACGACAGCATCCCCCCTACAGGAAAACACCAACACCAGTTTGCCCCACACCTGAAGGAGATCGGGCCAAGGACGCTGCAGTCAGGCTTTCACCTTTAATTAAACACCGCTGTCTGCAGTGCGACAGAATAAATAGCAGGAAGACATATCAATCCTAAAAAATACCAACTGGTCTCTGGAGAGGTCACGCAAATATCAGCGTGGGTCAAATCAGAGCTCAGCTAATTAAACTCCTCCTGAAATGAAGGCAAGCCCTTCCATCTCCTATTACACACAACTGTGAGGAAGTAAAACAATGAGTTACCCATTTAGAGAAGAAGTCTATGGTAATTCAACAAAGATTTGGATCAACAAAGCAGCAAAAATCTCAGTTTGACAGTCTTTATTTTATTTTATTTTTTTTGCTTTTCCTATGTATTGTTGATTTGACTGGGCCTTTTGATGAACGTTTCCCCCCTCAATAGAATAAAAAGGAGAAAAGAATTCAAACTGTTTTCTTAAGTTATCTGACTACTGAACTACAGCCACTTTTATATTTGTGTTTGAATTTAAAACCCAAATTATCCTAAGCAGTTTATCCCTTGTACACTAAAAAAAATGTTTCTTTATGCTTAAAAGGATTTTAAGAAACTGGCTGCTGTGATTGCAGCCAGAGGTGAATCTCTAACATACTGCCTCGAAGGGGCGAATATTTGTGCAATCACTTATTTTATGTTATTATTTTTTACTTCATTGTCATTTTGACATTACAGGTTTCTTTTTGTACATTATTTTGTCAAAAAAAGACAAATTTTGTGATTGATTTATAAAAGCGATAAAAAGTGTAAAACATCCAGTGGGGTGAACTATATAATATGTCAAAAATATAAAAACACTAACATCACAATCTGCATCAGAAAAACCTTCAGCTACAACAGTATTTCATCCTTACAGGATATATAGATATATAAATATATATAGTTATTTTGATGCTGAATGTTATCTGATGTTGACGTGAGATAAAAAGTGAAGGATCACACATGTCATTATTGTCCTTCCTTCAAGAAACAATAAGCAGCAGTGGCAAATTTCCTGGAAGTCAAGATAAGAGTTTATTAGATTGTTCCTTTCTGATAGAGGATGAAGAAGCAAATGTGAACTTCCAGCTTCTGTTCCAGATGAATCCGTGTCACAGACTGCTGGAAACACACCAGAATCGACATTATTAAATGAGACTTTTGCTTTACAGGAAACTGCAAAATGACTATTTCCTATAAAGCCAACAGCAGTCAGTAAATAACATGGGTTTGCCTTTACTGTCACTTATTGATCCACACAGAACTTTTCCTTAGTTGTGTCTGTTTACTCTGTATTGGTACTAGCAACTAGCACAGCAATAGAACCACAGCAGTAATGAACAGAAAGAAAAATACTTCTAGATGAGGATAATAATTCAGCGTTCCACAGAAAAATCAGCAAAGTTGCAAAAAACCTGAGTTCCACCAGATCATTTCCTTTCACTTCATGGTTTCAGTCATTTTACAAAGTCAATCTAGCTGTGGTAACAGCTAACTGCTGGTTCAACAGTTAGGCCGGTCATGATAACAAATTCTACCGGACAATAAATTGTTTCAGAAGTTATTCCGATAAATGATAACATTGATGTTTTGAGACCATTTTCAAATTATATGATGGTAATGGCATAAAAATGCAAGAACACATTCTCAAGATCAATAAACTTTAAATTCCAAAGAACATTTAACACTGGAAGTGTAAGACATTTTAAGTGTAAAATAAATAAACCAAGCAACAGAAACAACAAATTAGAACAAGCTCTTTAATTTCCATTTGCATAACTAAGCATTTTTGTTTACAGATACTTCATGATTCATTTTCTTTTTCATGCTAAGCTTATTATTTTATTACTAAGATGTTGCATCTCAGCTTTAGTATGTTAGTCTATCATTTGAGGTGTTTGTGCTTCTGGGTATCTATGCTGAGCATTTTTTATTTATTTATACATATATTTTTGTATTTTGGGGATAATTCTTACCAATATGCTCATTACGTTTAACAACCACCTGAAAAATTCAAAAACAAAAACTGGTGGTTCAGAAAGAATACTCACATGCAAACTGGACTTTTGCTTCCCTGCTGACGATGGTTCCAAACACGTTGGTGGCGATGCACTGATAGACGCCTCCGTGATTGATAAAATGAGGATTATTGATCAGCAGGTTCCCTTCAACAAGGCTGTAACTCTGGTCCGAGCTGGAGTCTATGGCCCTCCCATCCACTTTCCACCTATGAAATCAGATGTGCCACCGGTACATCATTGGTTTTCACGTTAGAAAACCGATGATCAGCTTTTATCATGAATATGAATGGGGTCCGTTAGTGGCATCCACATATACCCAGATTTTTTTAAAGTTTCAAAACTACTAACATGATTTTTGTTAAGATATGGCAGAGTTGTCTCCAGATGTTGATAGGATTAGGGTGACTGACGATCAGATGGCTGACAGAGCGCTCCCATAAATTTAGCTATTTAGTTTATGTTTTCTGCTGCAAAAACATCTTTGTGTGGAAACTAATACTGTTTTATATTAATTATTCATTAACTGTTTTTAGGATGAGTTGGTAAGCAATGGGCAACATGTCTATTAAAGGGGCAGCATTATGTGTTTTACAGTCACAGTGACATAGTATAATCAAGTAACTTTAAAAGCTACTATAAAAATGCTGCACACTGTGTGAAAAATTATTAGACAAGTTTTAGTTTCGATCGTATCATCATTTTTATGCATATTTTCCAACTCCAAGTTGTATAAACCTGGATGCTTGTTGAATATAAACATATCAGCTGGTGTGGGATGGTGGGGCCTGTGAGATCAACATCCTATATCAAGGTGTGCAGAATTATTAGGCAGCTTCTTTTCCTCAGGCAAAATGGGAAAAAAAAGATTTAAGAGACTCTGAAAAGTCTTTCAGAGGATACAGCACTTGAAAATTGCTAAGATGTTGTGGTGTGATCACAGAACCATCAAATGTTTTGCTGCAAATAGTCAACAGGGTCGCAAGAAACATGTTGAGACAAAAAGACAAATTAACTGCCAAAGATTTGAGAAGAATCAAACGTGAAGCTACCAGGAACGCTATGGTTACTGCTGCACAAAAAGTTGATCGTCAACAGATCAAGAACCTGACAGACTCCATAAATGGAAGGCTTATAATTGTTAATGAAAAGAAGGATGGATATATTGGTCACTGATTTATTTTTTAAATGTCAGAAATGTTTGTCAATTTTGAGTTCTATGTTTATTATTCTCACTTTAACAGATGACAATAAACAAGTGAGATGAGAAAGTTTTCGGTTTTAATTCAGTTGCATATTAATTCTGCACACTAATAGTTGCCCAATAATCAAGCACACACAGATCTTGTCCTAAGCAAGCCAAAATCTCACTTTTACTTTCATAAATATTCAGGTTTGAGAGGTTATCCTTTTAATAACGTTTTTACCAGCACTGAACTGAGAAGAAGCTCTTATAATGAGCAATTAGACCAGGTGTTTGCTAATTGCAGTTGGCTAGTCTGAAGGAGCTGAGTGGAGGAGTTGCAGGTAGGTTTTTGACGAGGGACTAACATTACAGTATAGCATGATGTAAAGCAAAAAAACAAAAGCTGATTTTACATAATACTGTCCCTTTAAGTATCTGACTGCAGGTTCTCATTGAGCAGATAGTCTGACTAATTAGCTAAAATCAGTTTTTTAATCTCCTGTTTAATAAAACATAAATCTACAAACAAAAGGTAATATTCTGTAAAACTTATCTACTTTAAAGCTGCTGTTGAATTATGCAGATGTTTATTGTTCCACTATATCTGTAGAAATACAATCAAACAGAGATTTCAAGGCAAATGGCGAATTCTGTCCTGACGCAGTTCAGCACTGATGTTTACACTGATGTTTACGTTCTACTATATAAATGGACTATTCAGTACATGAGCACTTCAAAATCTGCTTCATTTTCTAATATTTAGAGCCAAGTAATGCATTTTGAATGCACACTTGGCAGACAGGGATGCACCCATATGAAAAAATATCAACATCTGGATTATTATTGCTCCTTGGTGTGATAACAGATATTCAAAGCTGCTATATACACACACTGTATATTTCCCACAAACAGCAAGATGGAAATATCACTTATTAAAATTTCACTTAGACTAATACTGACATGTTTAAAAATGACCATTAAACACAGATATGGATGTTTATGCTTATCTTCTCAATTTCTAATGGAAACCTATGAAGTGTGACAGTTGCTTATGTCTATATTTCAAAATTTCAGTAGAAATAGCAGCAATAGAAATAATTGTTGCCTTTTTGAATTACACAAAAATAAGTTTGTCATAATTCCAAATCTTTATGTAAATATTTCGTGTTAATGCTGGAAAATCATTGTATTATCACTCATATATTCCATGACACTCATACTGTGCCTAGAAACCATTCTTTAAAAATAGGCCAAAACACATATAGTAGTAATAAAATGAAACGTTTATTTTTCTTTTTCTAATGAAACACTACTTTTCATTGTGATAGCCACATTAACCTGCAGCTAAAACAAAGTACATACCTATAGTGTGGAGGTGGGTTACCCTTCGCTTTGCAGTTAATGAACACCAGCTTGTCGCCGGAGCTCATGGGGAAAATACTGTCACTGGGCTCCTGAGTGAAGACAGGACCGTGGCGGGCGTTCTCTGCGTCATAAATAAAATAAATAAATAAATAAAACATTAGCTGTACCATGAAGTGGAACAAGTGACAACATATTAATGCAAAGAGGAATCACTCAGCACTCTGGAAGCTGTATGTAAATTCCACACCTATTATAATTAGCTTCCAAGGTGGCTCTCTGAGTACATTGTGCATTTAATAAACCATCATGTCACGATGCAGATGTCACATTGCGATGAGAGAGCAATTAACAGAAGATAACCCTGCATCACATTGGTCTCTCGGCCCATTCCGCACAGTCTGCAGCTGATGGAGCCTACTTATTATGCTCCATTTGTGCTTAGAATGTTTTACACCAATAAAATCTCTAATAATATGAATGCTTATTTTGAGTAGACTCTGTGCTGTCATGATTCAGAGTGCATTACTTTAAACCAAAGATAAAAATGTAGAAAACTTAAAGTTTAAACAATTTTTAAGAGGAAAAAAACTAAATAGTTTTACTGATAATTATCTTTTAAAACAATACCTCTAGGGAAATAAGAATATTAATTGGACTCTAAGATGTTAATTTTGATTAATTAATGAAAAAGGTTTAATCGCATTAAACATTTTAACGCAATTATTTTATTTTTATTTTTTTACATATAAGGTTTCCAGGCGGAACCTTTGTATCTGCATGTTTCTGGAACACTTGTAAATCTGACACACAACTGACATCCACGAATGACAACAATAGACAAATAGACAAAGCCGCATCTCTTGCCCCACTAGGAATTAATTTTTCTTTCAAAAAACGATCCAATTGGACACTGGAAAAGAGTATTTCAGTGTCTACGCTGTGTTAAAAGGAGTAAGCCTATCAGTAAAGCTATGTCTATTTATACAATAATTTAGCAGCAAAAAGGGGTTTTGAATTGAAAATGTTGCTTTGTTAATGTATGGTTTTTGATTAAGATGCAATTAATTGTAATCAAGTCATTACAGATGCTGTAATGAACTTCATTAACAATTTTAATCAACCATTAATATTAATACAATTGTTGTTTGAGGTCTTCCACATCCAAATCTCAATTCCAGGATTTCAGATTTCATGTTGTAATAAGAACGGTCTTCTCTTTAACAATTTCTAAAATTCTAATTTCCCTGTTTCTGAAAAAAACCCTCATTGTTTATTTTCCCACAGTGAATGCCAGAGAAGCGAGTCTTTTCTGAGTATCTGAGAATTGTCATAACACCATTTCCAAACCACCTGAAATCCATTATTAAACATTACATTCACAAGTGGACAACATTCTCAGACAGTCACATTTCTTCCTCACGGTGGTCATCAGTGCAAATTGACCTCCAGGTCAGAACATGATCTTTCTATATTAAGTGCCAAAAACCCAAGAGCTCCATCTCTGCATTTACAGGCCTCAGTTAGCATGCTGAATTTTAAAGTTCATACAGTACAGTTTAAAAAAAAAGAATGAACAAGTACAGCTTTCTTGGAGGAGTTGCCTGGAGAAAGACTTACTGGAAATGTATAGCAGCAAAGTTTGCAAAGTTGTATCTGAGTGACTTTCAACAGTTCTTTGGACAGATGAGACTAACCTGAACTAAACTAAATCAGTTTATGGATACTCTGCAGAACAAAAGGTTTGTTAAAGTGTGTATGACAACCAGACTACCCCACTGGGTGCCGGCAGTATGTGAGGACACATGGCTGTGTCTCCAACAGGGTGGTCTGCAGGACAGGAGTCCCGCAGGGATCTGTACTGACACCTTTCCTTTTCACTCTCTAAATTGCAGACTTCTCTTCCAACTCCCACACTGCTGTCTTCAGAAGTTCTGTTATGACTCTGACATAGTCGACCTCATTACAGTTGGAGACGGTTGAGAGTACAGATAGTTGACTCCAGACTTTATGGACTGGTGCCATGAGAACTGCCTCTTGATAAACACAGGTAAAACTGTGCCGCTTTTTCTTTTCCTTGTGTCATAAATTTGCCCTCACTGTACAGTCTCTTTTCTTTTTCTCCATATTTATGTTTCTATCAGTGTGAATTTGCATGCAGTGGCTGCTGGTACAAATGAATGGCCCCAATGGGTGACAATAAAGCTTCATTCTATATACAAATTTCAGAACATCTGTCCAACAGCCGAGAAAGGACAATGACCCCAAAACACAGCAGCAAATCTACTGCAGAATAACTAAGAAAGAAGGTATGGTGATGGCCCCATCTCATCTCAATAAACTATTGAAGTGCTGTTGTCGCAGTAGCAGTTCTAAAAGTTCTAATGTTCTTTGTTGTGAAACTCTATATAGGAGTCAGGTGTCATTAATGCAACTTTCAATTTTACAGATGTTACCAAGAGCCCAGCTATTGCAAATAGGATATGAAGACAAAAAAAAAATTGTATTTGAAGCTTTAATATCTCACAGAGGATAGAAAAAAAAAACACTAGTTGTAAGGGACAAAACCAATCAACAAAATCAAAAGTTGTTCCCACAACATCTCTGTGGTCAACCTTTTATTTATTTATTTTTAGACTCTGAATGGTCCCACGTGCACAATGTTCTAATATTAAAGCACTCTGAAATGAAATAAGGTTGAATCGACAGGGACTGCTTCAAGACTAACTCAGGGTTGGGGGAGGGAGGGACGGATGGACTGACTGCAGCCTAATACAGGGGAGCTCCTTAAACAAAACCTGTCGTAGCATTAAATCCACCTGAGACTGGAGCAAATGTTCAACTTCCAGCTGAACAGTGAAACGCAGAGCCAAGAAAACTTTGCGGCAGCTTCAGGGAAAATATCTCCCTGTCCTTCAGCGCTGCTAACGCCCAGTCTTAAACACAGGAAAACATCTGTTAAGAGACCTCAAAAAGGCAGCAAGCAGAGAGTAAACTTCAAATGTAGGTGAGAATGTCTTCTGAGACTTTTCCAAGAAAACTGGAATATGTAACAGCCGAGAAAGAAGGAACAGACCCGCAGGAAGGAGTTCTACTTTCACTGTTATTAGGGGCTTGGAGTGAAACGTGAGGAAGGACATTTTTAAAATCTACAGTCCAAAGTTAATAGAAATTTGTAGTCTGTCTCGCTTTTCATCAGTGGTGGGCACTGCTAACTAAAAAGTTAGTTGCATAACCCTAAAGCACTATCCAAGAACATTAGCTCCACTAACATGCTGTATGAACCTGGTATTTACCAAAAGCTAGTAATGAAGTGCTAAATTCAACCATATTGATTGCACTATGCATCAATGACAATTTGACAACATAGTATACCGCCCTCAACAGGATCAAATTTGTTATTGCACTCCTACTTGTACTGTTTGCACTTCAGGAAGTGATTCTTTGATTCTTTCACTCCAGGCTTTAGTTTTATAGTTGAGTTTTGCTAAGTCTCTTGCTGATTTAGACTAATTAACTTTGGTTAGAAAACACAGTCGACATCAGAAGATTTTAAACTGTTTACTTTAGAACAGCGAGTCATTCTGGGTACAGAATAAATGCCATTTGCTGTACCGCAACACGGGTGGAGAACATGAGGAGAGGAAACAGAGATAGTAACAAAATAACAGCACGAATATAAACAGCTCGCTACTTGAAGAAATCTCAACAGTCAATAGTCAAGATGTCAAACTTCACTCAACTTGAAATTTATAGGATCACCAAGTAAATAGATGGCCAAGCTTTATAATTTATCTGGAGTAATTAATTTGGGAGAAGGTAACTGCACGAAGTGTTTTCTAAGACAGTAAAAACGCTAGGGTGCATAGCTAAAAATTAGCTGTGCCGTTAATGCAAGTGTGTACATTTTTTGGGGATATGAAAGAAAAGAATTTTCAGATTGCTACTGATAAATAATTTTGTGTTGGTCTGCTGCATTAAATCACAGAAAAATAAATAGCAATTTGCGGTTGCAAAGTGTCAAAATGAGGAAGAAAGTTCAAGATTTTTTTGCAAGGAATTGTAAGTGGAAACAGAAAACAGAAAATAAAAACAGAGCAAATTCAATCAATACAATATTTTTAATGGTCTAAAATATTACTAAGCAACTCAGCCCTCACTGATTTATGCTCCGATTCATCTTTTTTTTATTATGTAAGGAGGATAGTTTTCAGAAGATGTTTACATAAGAGCTTGAGTATTCAGAGTAGTTTTATGGTTTTAATCTAATTAGAGCAGATCTGCTGTCTATGTACATGTAGTCTGTGCGTGCGTGGGTGTGTTCTCTGTAAAGCTCATTGTTTTGGTTGTGTCTGCCAAACTATCAATACACAGGAGTAATTAACTGATGGTGCACTAATTACTCCCGTGAAACTTTTTTTTAGCAGATGCACTCTCACATCCAGCCACGCACTGGTGCACACCCTCCATTTCCTCAGATACGGCGTGTCACGAGCCAAGCTGCACAACCCTGCTGCCTGGGAAAAAATGTTAATTTTCTCTTTGTTCACTTGAGACGATGAAAGATGAGATGTTTTTCTATTTTTTTTCTCCTTTTCCCGATACACATCTCTAACCTTGACTAGGACAAAGAGTGTTCCCTCCCACGTTGTCATCATTATGATCATCCTAATGAGAGTGGGAGTCTTTGCCTCAGGTAAGGGCCTCGTTTCCCCTCTTTCTCGTCTCTGAGGGAGGCGTTTCAGATTCTGCCCTGCTTGGAATGTCCTTTAAATTAAACAAATTAATGAACCCTTAAAAGCTGGGTTATTTCTCCAGGGGAAAACATTGGGAGCTTCGTTTATCTGCCTGAGAACAACCCTGCTCAGTAAACACTCCGACCCGACTGACCACTGCTACAAGTGAGTGTACATCCATAACACATTACACCTAATTACATTTCATGGGAATGCATGTAAAAGGAAACTTAAAGGCATTGTGTGCACTAACTAGATTGTTTGTTTTTGGTAACATTTTCACATAGTACATAATTTACTACCATATATAGTTGAGTAAGAGAATACCAACAGATCCATCATAAGCTGTGGATTCATTATAAATGTACGCAAATCTCTGAAAGTATTCTGCTAACTTTGAAGAACACAATTTTGCAATTGTGGTATTTGCATTAATAGGCAAAATGGTGATTGGCTCCGTACTTGTATATCGGACCAGAAAACCCCAAAGTGTTTCACACTAAAGTCAATCACGCACACTCTCACACCTGAGTATGGGCAAATTTTTTAGTATGGCGTGTAGATATTAAGTTTTTCAGAAAATGTTCAGGTATTTTAGTTAAAATGACCTTAAATGCTTCAAAACCAAAACCAGAAAGAGATGATGGACAAAAGAAAACAGGTAATGGGTCAGATTAACTACATCAAAATAGTTGATCTGATATTAATCTGACAACATGATGCCAAACACATCATGTTAGTTTTCTAAAGAGGAAATGGCCTTTAAAGTGACGTTGCAACAAGCTAACCAAAGCCCAGAAGTAGACAAGCTACATCTTGGTTCCAGACCAACAAGAACCGATGTCATGCAGTTAAGGTGGGATTAAGGTGGGATTGTTTTTTTTTTTTTTTTTGTAATTTACACAACTAAATAGTTCAGTGATTTACAGGAAAGCAAAAATCTTCATGGTTTTTCAGAGTATGCAGTAAATGTTTGGTTTTACAGAGAAAAATGCAGATGCTGCCATTTCTCAAACCATCCTAATATTCCTTTTTTTTCATGGCGCGAAATAAGTGTGATTACGGTTCTGCCATGTTTTTCACTTTGGAATTGAATGTTCTATAGTTCTCAACACATCCCTTTATATTGAAATAAAAACTGTTATAAAGATATTGAGCCTTTCTCACTTTTTTTTTTAAATACACTGCTATCATTTTGAACACAACACTACTTGCTGAATATGATGAAGAGCACTGGCCTCTGCTCTCTCTGCTCTGTATCTGCACGCTTCATGATACACCCCGGTGGAAGTGCTGACTTGAGACAGGATGCTAAATCAATTGAAACAGAGGCATAAATAACAAAGCAATAGAGCCGGCTCCATATGCTGTATGAATTTCAGTGTATATTTGTGTGATGACTTGTAAACGGTCGGCTTGATCTGGGTACACATTATATCCCTCAAATCTGGCTGCTGGTTGTAAATCTCAAAGTTACACCAGAGAGCTCTTAGAGGGAGTGGAAAGCCTTAACAGTAACTCATGCAGGTATTTGAGAAACTAGAGTCTGATGCTGGTCTCCTTGTCTCTCAGAGGTAGCTCAACAGCATCCCCTGCATGCTCCAAATAAATACATGAGCGTTGAGTGAGTGGATTTGTTTGTTGTGCAAGTGTGTAAAAAGGAGGAAAGCTGCAAACTTTCCTCCTTTTCGTTCCCTCTTTCGTTCCATCATGGTGTGACCATGATGAAGGAGATATTAGGTCTGTGTTGTTCATGCAGGGACAAAATGACTGGATTCCTGATGTCAATGAGGAAGCATGGGCTTGTCATTGTACCACACAAAGTGTAGGGCAGTTCTATATTGACTGGATACACTTGTCAACATTGTAACACTCCCACCAAATGATCGTCTGGTGACAACAGTGGTTGATGCAAAAAGCATCTCCAACATCTTTGGCGGCCATCATTTCTACGCAATGTGACTAGACTTTCATCAGCACCGAGTGCCCACTGGTCCCTCATCCAGTGTAAATGCTCCACTGGTCCCTCATCCAGTGTAAATGCTCCACTGGTCCCTCATCCAGTGTAAATGCCCCACTGGTCCCTCATCCAGTGTAAATGCCCCACTGGTCCCTCATCCAGTGTAAATGCTCCTTGGGCCTGGTTGAGTGGTGAGGTGTGTTTCCAAACCTGGCCCTAAAGCCACACTGTCCTGCATGTTTTATGTGTTTCCTTGCTTCAACCCAGGTGATTTCAATTGACAGTTGTTTGCTGAACTGCAGTCAGCTGACTGCAGTTCCACAGGTGTTTGCTAATTGCTGCTGGCTAGTCTGATGGAGCTGAGTGTGGTGATTTCAGGAGAGAGCTGCTTTGTGAGGCGAAAGCTCAGAAGCTTGTAAACTGCAGCTCTGAGGAAGAGCTTCACCTTGAAGGCAGATCTAGGTTCACCTAGGTGTTTTGTACAGCTGAATGGTTGCCATAGAGATTAAAGGATTTCTCAAGCAAGCATGAAAGAATCAATGTAAGAGTCCAGATATGTTTCTGATGAAGAAATAACATTATGACACAATGTAAAGCTCAAAAAAGTCGAGTTTGCTTAATACTGCCCCTTTAAGCTCCTTCTTGGAGAACAGCAAGAAAACCAAACAACCCTAACTTTTTGTGAGTGGTATATATGTAACATATAAATGTCTGACTGGCACTGAGAGCTAAAGAAACCCAACATCTCCACAAGATAAGTGAATTTGAAAACTTTCCTACACCCAGAATGCACCGCACTGGTTCAGAAATGATACACTACCAAAGCTGAATTTCAATCAGATCTGAGATGTTTTGTGCTTTCCCCCCCTCAAAGTAGGTGTAGGATCTGCACAGATATAAAAGCAAATAGAAAAGAATGCTTCTATTTGAGTTCACTATCAGCTCTCCGTAAGAAATGATAAACCAGACACAGGTGAGGGAAAACAAGGCAAACTCTCTCTCTCTCTGAAAGACGTATGCATATCATCCATGTCATGAAAGGAGACTTGTCTTGGCATCTTACCGGCAAGGCACTCTTTGAGTGACAGAAGGATTAAGAGTTCCCATGGCAACAACATCTTCATTTTCCAAGGTGAAAGATTCCTGTTCTGACAGACAGTGAAGAACACTTCCTGGGCAAACACTCCCTTTGTTTGGAACTGTGAAAAAAGAAAGAGGAAAATAGACCACATGAGCTCTGTGAACATTACGAGATCCAATCGGAATCTGCGACTTCAGAAAAAAAAAGAGAATGTGTAAAAGGCAGTAAGCTGTGAAAAATCGGTGTGCTATTAATAATTCATTCAACCAAATTACCCGGGCTAGGATCTCATGCTGTGCACTGAGCTAGCAGCTGATACGATACTGTGGGAGCTGATATGTGGTGCATACTGCAGCTTCACTATCTCCACAGAGCACGTGGAGGACAAAAACAAAGCAGAAGCAGCAACAGATTAGCAGGATCCTGCTGCAGGAAGTGTTTAATCTCTGAAAATTGTTAGCTGGTCAGATCGTAGAAGACAGTGATTAGCGGTGATTATACACAGTGTTGTTTAAAGTACCTTAAAGTGATACTTCACTGAAAGTACCTGTATCTTACCATAAATCTGCCTTGGTAAAAGTTAAAGTCTCTTACTTACTTACTTACTTTAGTAAAAGTGTTAAAGTATCCGACATTTATTGTACTTAAGGGTCAAAAGTAAATTTCCCATATGTACCTAAAGTATAAGTATTAAGTACAAGTATTCAAGAATTCAAGAGTACAAGAATTTCTAAGATAAGATTTATTTTGTCCAATATCAATGACAAAAACTTCAGAACTTCAGTTGCATGAATTCAGTCGGGCTCTTCTTGGACTGATGACAAATGTTGCGGTGGCTCTCTACCTGCTGAGGCTGGTAGAGGACAGTTCAGCTTCAAAAGAAGCGTGCACACCACTAGGAATGATTTCACTAAGTCCATGTTATCAGCTGAACAGGCTAAGTATCCATCTCATCCTTGAGACGACTGCAGAGCAGAAAAGTGGAAAAGTAACATCATCGTCAGATGAACTGGATTGGTTGGATGCTCACTGTAGAGCAGACTCTTCCATGTGTGTCTAATGTAGTCAATTCCTAAAATATTGAAGAAAATAAATGTTAACTAAACTGAGCCAAGTCTTTAACATGATGTGATCTAAAATTTAAGTTTTAATTAAAGGTCTGATATTGTGATTGTATTTACTACCCATGCATAATTGTCAGTATTACAAAGCAGGGGTCCTCAAATCCAGGCATTGAGGGCCGGAGTCCAGGAACTTACACATGTGTCCTTGGTCCAAAACACCTGATTCAAATAACTGGATTATTAGCAAGACACTGGAGAATTCAAGATTCAAGTGTGTTGGACCAGGGACACACCTAGAGGTTCCAGTACACTGGACCTCCAGGCCTGTTATTGAAGACCCGGGCCCTTTAGGTGAATTCCATGTCAAATATTTGAATAGCTTCCCATCAGCCAACTCAAAAATGTTAGAGAAAAAAATATCTAGAGAGTTCATACACTCACTGATAGTAAGAAAAATAATTGAAAAGATCAGATATGCACTGTATCTTGAAAATTATTTAAGCTAGTTCCTTTGAATTTCAAGAGTTAAATTGGACCATAAGTAGTTCTGCAGAAGACGCATCACGAAACAGGTCAAAAATTGACATACCTATGTAATGACTTTTACTAATAGTTAAAGTTTTTCAGAAACATTTGAAATGGTTTAAGCAGGTTTTTTGTGTTATGATATCTGACATGTAATGTTCCTAATACATATCAGCCCAACAATATACTGAATTATTTACAAAGTATTTAAGTAATTAAGCAAATCTTAACCAAACACAATGCTTTTTATGATATGAATTATGTTAAATTTATGACAGGAATTAAACTAAAACTAACACTGCAACCTGCCACTAATTGGCCAAATGACTAACCAAAAGTATTTTCTCCATGGGGAAGGAGGAAATATTCTGCCACCACCAATTAAATCATGCCAGAAAGCATAGCGTAATTTACCATATTATGTTTAATAGGTTTGATGTAAATTTAAATGATTGAACACACTGGACAAAAAAAACTGGCTTAAACATGCAAGCTAATCGGAATAGTTAGCGAGTACAAAG